ATGGTATCTCTATTCCTTACAGAAACTATACCTATGGTGGATTAGTTAATATTGTAATCCAAGAAGGTTTAGCTCTCTGTAATGATCTGAAGTTACAGTCCCATTTAAAAGCACAAAGATTAACTGGTAGAAAGGAAGTAGGTGACATTTGTGATCAATTTGCTTACCAGACTCCCTTATCTTATCCTAAACCTAGGAAAAGAAATAAGGTTGAAAAACCTTATAAAAGGAAGTATTCCAAAAGAAAGAATTATTCAAAGGAAAAGGATAATTCTCGACAGTATACTAAGCCTAAAAGGAAATATATTCCTAAAGCAAAGGGTAAAGGAAAGCCCAAAGCTGAAGCTAAATGTTTCAAATGTGGACGCATAGGCCACTATGCAAACAAGTGCAGAACTAAGGAGAAACTTAGTAGTCTTCATATCGAAGATGAACTAAGGCTTCAATTAAGTAAATTGTTACTTAATACTAGTTCTTCTGAATCAGAATCATCAGCTAATTATGGGGATGTTGTTATGGAATTACAGTCTTCTTCTTCCTCTGAAGCAGAAGTTGGAAATCCGAAATGTTCCTGTAATCCCTCTCATGATGATTATTATAAGGCAATTGTTGAAATAAATGGATTAAGCTTAAATGTTTTGACTTCGACTCAACAATCCTTATTGGATCTTATAGATCATATCCAGGATCCTCAAATCAAGATGAAAGTCTTTGAAATAGGTTCTGCTCTGGCACGATCTAATGAGGATACTGATAATCCAGCTTTTCTGAGAGCAGAAAATCATTACAGCATGAAAGAAGTTCTCAGCAGATTAGAACACCAAGGACAAAATTCTCGTCCTGTTAATCTCCCTGATCTCAAAATGGAGATTAATCTTTTAAAAGAAGAAATACGCCAGTTAAAGTCTCGTCAAACTAAGATGGAACTGGAAATTATTCTTTTAAAAACAAAATCTGTAACTGAAACTTCATCATCCCAGATTGAAGTTCCTCAATCCGAAAGCACGAATTATCTTCAACTCTTGAATCAAGTTACTTACCAAAAATGGTATATATCTATCAATTTGGTAATTAATCAAGAGTACACCATCACTAATACTATTGCCTTAGTTGATAGTGGTGCAGATATGAACTGTATACAGGAAGGATTGGTTCCTACTTAATATTTTGAGAAAACCACTCAAGGTCTTACCAGTGCTAGTGGTGGTAAGATGCAGATTAAGTATAAACTTAATCATGTTTTCATCTGTAAAGAAGGTATTTGTTTACCATCTACTTTCTTACTCATCAGAAATATGGCACAACAAGTTATTTTGGGCACTCCCTTTTTAGCTTTGATTATGCCAATTGAGAAAATTGATTCTCATGGAATATGCTCTAATTTACATGGCCAGTCAATAACTTTCCAGTTCTTGACCCCACCAATAAATAAGCATATCAATGCTCTTAAAGATAACATTATCTTTAAGGAAAAATAACTGAATTATTTGCAAAAGGAGGTATCCTCCTTAGCAATTAATCAAAGATTAATACAACTCACTGAGCAACAGAAAATTGAGTCAATACGACAAAACTTTCTAAAGGAAATCTGTAGTGAGATTCCTAATACTTTTTGGGACAGAAAGAAGCATATTGTTTCTTTACCCTATGAAAAGGGATTTACCGATCTCATGATTCCTTCTAAAGCTAGTCCCAGCCACATGAAGGCTGACTACTTGGAATTATGCAAAACTGAAATTAGCTCTTTAATGGCAAAGAAGCTTGTCACTGACAGCCACTCCCCATGGAGTTGCAAAGCTTTTTATGTCAATAAAAATGCTGAAAAAGAACGAGGAATTCCTCGATTGGTTATTGATTATCGACCACTCAATCTAGCTTTGAGTTGGATCCGATACCCAATTCCCAACATCAAAGATCTTTTAGATAGGTTACAATCTGCTGTAATCTTTTTTAAATTTGATCTTAAATCTGGATATTACCAGGTACAGATTGCAGAAGAGGACAGGTACAAAACAACTTTTTGCGTACCTTTTGGACAGTATGAATGGACAGTAATGCCATTTGGATTAAAAAATGTCCCTTCAGAATTTCAACATATTTTGAATGACATATTTAATCCTTATACTGAATTTTCTATTGTTTATATTGATGATATTCTCATATTTTCAAAATCAATCGATCAGCATTATAAACACTTGAAAATTTTCAAAAATGTTATTTACCGAAGTGGTTTAATAGTTTCTGCTCCTAAACTAAAACTGTGTTTAACTAAGGTCAGATTTCTTGGTCATGAAATTTGTGATGGAAAGATTAGACCTATTGATCACAGTATTGAGTTTGCTTCTAAATTTCCAGATGAAATCAAGGATAAAACTCAACTCCAGAGATTTCTTGGTAGTTTGAATTATATTTGAAATCACTACAGAGATCTTGCACAGGATACAGCAATTTTGTACACCAGGTTAAGGAAATCTCCTTCCCCATGGACTTTGGAACACACCAAGGCCGTCCAGAAGATTAAACTCAGAGCAAAACAAATTCCTTGCTTAGCTCTAGCCAATTCTTCATGGTTCAAAATTGTGGAAACAGATGCATCCCATATTGGATATGGTGGTATTCTTAAACAGAAGAATCCAAATACAGGAACAGAGGAACTTGTTCGCTTCACTTCAGGAACTTGGAAAAATGCACAACTGAATTACTCAACCATCAAAAAAGAAATTCTTTCTTTGGTTAAATGCATTTATAAATTCCAAGATGATTTAATTAATCAGAAATTCTTGTTACGCATTGATTGTAGTGCTGCTAAACAAGTACTGGAAAAAGATGTAAAGAATTTAGTTTCCAAACAGATATTTACTGGTTGGCAAGCTGATTTATCTGCTTTTGATTTTTCTATTGAATATATTAAAGGCAGTTCTAATTCTTTACCTGATTTTCTAACTCGTGAATTTTTGCAGGGTTCATGAATCCGCCTCCTCATGGGTAGGGCCGGGGTAATACTCTAAAGGCTCGTGACAAAAACAAAGCTAAGGCCAAAGTGGTTATACCACTAAATGATGATCAATTTCCATATCTGGATCATGTTGCAGATCTGCTCAGCACACCTCCTAAAGGCAGCAGCAGTTCACAACAGAAACAACAGAAACCAACCATGAAAGAGGTTCTTGAACAAGAAACTCCATGGATACCTAATCAAAGGTATATTCAGACAGTATTGGTACTGGATTCTCAAGATGAGCAATGGATGCCAGACCCTTGGGAAGTAAAATCCAAATATTTCCAAACTCAACAATATGCTGCACCGGATGGTCGCCATAGATATATCTATGAAGTCATTCTTACTGAAACTTCCTTTGTGGAAATCAACCACACGAAGCAATTTCCGAATTCCAAAGATAGTCCTCTTACTTATAGTAAAGCTATCTTTAAGAGGCTTATACGGCCTAGTGACTGGGGATTAAATCCTAATTTGCCAAGGAAAATATCATATGGCCACAGTTACAATTATTGGGATTATATCTCAGCTTGGACATATTCGTTCTTTTATCAAAATCCGAAGCATAAGCATTCTTGGTTTTTCAAGATATGCCCTCAATCAGTTAAGGCTGATTTCCCAAACTGGGTTATACCCTGGTGGGCTATATTTGGCCCTGATCTGGATATTTTGCCCGAATCTATTAGGCAGTTATACTTGCCATGGCAACAATTTCATCCTCAATTAAGGGGACAAGATAATATTCCTGTAGGGAAATCCACCCTATTGTTCTTTACTGAATTTGGAATCCCTTGGATTTGGAAATGGGATTTCCAATGTGGTTATACCACTGATAAGTTACCAGTCCTTCAGAGGATCTTTTATTACCGATAGTGGTCAGGCATGACTCAAGACCCTATCCAAGCCCTCCTCCATCATATCAGAAAGAAAATAATGGAATACATGGATAAGGTTCCAAAGTTAACTAGTCCAGAACCAGAAATCTTTAACCCATTTGAACTTGTTAAAGATATGATCAGAAAGCAATAACCATTAATTACCGAAGCAGATTTAATGGTTAAATGCATGGATTTTATGAGGAATAAATTTGTTACCACTTTTGATTTCTCCACATCGACAGTAAGAGATGATGCCTCCATGATACCAGTCTCTAGCCAGACCAGTCAAGATGGTAATCAGTTTTCCTGTCTAGCTGGTTATGCACAAGATCCCAATGAAGATCTTATTTCTGAAGATGAACCCACAGTCGCTGATTATTGGGACTCTCTCACCAGCCACTTGAAGGAAAAGATGAATCCACCCAAAAAGTAAAGATTCTTCTTATCCTGCCGACAGAAGAAGACAAAGGACTTTTCTCAAAAGTCTTTGATTCTACAGTATTTTCTTCATCAGATGTCTACTTTCCATCAGATAAGGAGACAGAACTTAGTGGTGGGCCGACCGACTGCATTATTCAAACACACTTTCCCATGCACTATGCGGACTTCAAAATGTTAATTTCAAGTCCGTTTTATGTATAAATAGAGGGCAAAGTTTTCCTTCAATGTATCTTTCAATTTTCCTTTCTTCCTCTTGTAATGTTTCTCTGTATTAAATTTGAAAGTGAAATAAAGAAAATTTTCTCTAAGTGTTTCAAATATAATTAACTATTATTATCAACTGTTTATATTATCAACGGTTTATAAATATTTCAACTGTTTATTATATATCGGTCCACTATTATTTTTGGTACATATATATATATATATATACACACACACCAGATTTTCAATTTCGTTAGCTAACATTCTTTGGCGACAGTGTGGCTGGTGAATGTGACTCCACGTCTACCACCGTACCACGTGTACCTACCCACCCAAATCTACCACGTGTATCTATCTACCTCCGATCCTGACTTTTAATTTTTGGTCTGATTTACCCACCAAACCAATCAATAATTACAAAACTGTCCACACTCGGTCTAGTTGGTCAATGTTCTATATATATCAGACAACACAAAGCGCCCTTTCATCATCCTTTGTCGGCTACGAAACCAACGCACCCCAGCATAACTTAGCCATGTCTCCCACCTCGTCCCCGGTCACCGGAATCCAGGTCGACGTCCACGAATTCCCGCCGGAGGTCTCACCTCCGGGCACCACCAAGACCTTGTTACTCGGTGGCGCAGGTCCTTAAACTACGCATCCCAGTAAAATACTTTATTTATAAATATATTTGATCTGATGGTGAATTTGGCTAATGTGCGCAGGGGCGAGAGGTTTGGAGATCCAAGGCAAGTTCGTAAAGTTCACGGCCATTGGTGTTTACTTGGAAGATAACGCCATACCGTTCCTCACCGTTAAGTGGAAGGGCAAGACTGCAGAGGAGTTGACGGATTCCGTTGAATTCTTCAGGGACATCGTTACTGGTAACGGACTCGTCTTTTTAAGTCTTAAACGCTTCTCTGCATTCTAACAGATTGTTCTCTCCGTGTCGGAGTCCGTTAATGTCCTTTTGGTTAATTTACTTTTTGCCCGTTTCTCTAACACATATTTTTAAATTTTAAAATATCTGGCTTTTGTCCTTACGAAAAAAGTCAGATGTGTTCATTGTTTGTAACGAAAAAAGTCAGGTACCATACCTACCATCACACAAATTCATCTTAAAATAATTTCTTGAATTTATTAATTTACAAGCTGATTTTTTGGAATTGTGGGCCCTATCGGGTCAATTTTATTTATTTATTTTTAAATGATAAAATTAGATGGTTCAAAATCATTTGATCATCCTACTTTTATATGGCATATATCTTTGATGACATGCATTATATATTATTGACCGTTCAATTGTGTTAATGTTTGAATGTGCCCTTGAATATGATGATTTTCGGGGTTATGGTACTTAAATCTAACTTATAATGTGAATTATAGAAAAAGAATAAATCATGCAAAAATGTTAGATATTTAATGTTATTAACTCGAGATATGTTCTATGTTAGGTTTAATTTTATGAATTATTTCATTAAAGCCCACAGTTTGAGCAATAATATCTTACTTTGTATGAATTATGCCATTTTGGTACTTCATGTGGCTTGCTCACTTGAAGTATCAAAGACCACCATTGTGAAGCTTTGCCCAAAAAAAAAAAAAAAAAAAAGTTATAAAGATGATAGGATTAACCTGAACCTTAACTATTTGCATTGAATGACCATTTTTTACCCGAAAAGGAAAAAAAAAATGTAATTTCCATTCAAGTTAGGTGTCGAATGGCTAAGAATCGTCCAATTATGCTAACCTATTGTATAGTTGATTACTTGAATGTCAACCAAGAGATTGTGTGCCTTAATCCTTTGAATAAGCAAGTCATGTGGCACGACAATGGCTGGCTATGGTGTGACTTTTAGGTAAGTGTTGAAGTGGTATTCAGTGTTTACTTTTTACCGTCAATTTGTGATATTTTTACTAAAAATGGTTGCCACAGCATAAGATTTGGTTTGTGTAGGATGTTCAAAATAAATTGATTACCGCAAACCTTTTACAGTATATTTTTCCGTCGACTTCTAAAGAGGATCGAGCTGGAATTGAGGATGAATGTTATTCTTGGATCATTAGAAGTAATATTCATGAAATAGCATCAATATCAATGAATTAGTAGAATTACCAATATAGAATTGGATCTCTTACGCGTGCTTTGAGATATTATGCAAGTGATTAAGTTTCCAAATAATTAGTTTGATTGGATGAGTTCTCTTATTTAAGTTTCCAAATGGCATCGTAAATAGCAAGCCCAATTATCATGTTTTCATGAATATAACTCAATTTAAGAAGCTTATGCAGCAACATTAGAATGATTTTGAACCATTTGATTTTACCACTTCCTTCTAGATTCAGCAATTCTGAAATCTCTTACAAGTCCGTACATGACAGTTTAAGATCACTTGATCATGTTGATGTCACACTAGTTCTCTTAGTTGATTTCTGGGTCATCTTAAATCCTACTTATGTGTGCTAATATTATGCTCCCGTGAGAATTGGAAGGCATCCGTTTCATTCAAGCTCTCGACATTGAAAGGGCAGGAAGTAACTTCTAGTCCTAATTCAACAATTGAAAGGAAATAAAAGTCAAAATTGTTGTTTTCAAATGATAAGACTGCATATGGAGGATAAAAGATGACATAGAATTCGTGCTCTGTGTCTGATTGAATCGCTTAACATAATTGTTGCTACACTCTGTAGGTCCCTTTGAGAAATTCACAAGGGTGACGATGATCCTGCCACTAACAGGAAAGCAGTACTCAGAGAAGGTGACAGAAAATTGTGTCGCCTATTGGAAAGCAGTTGGAACCTACACTGATGCAGAGAGCAAAGCCGTTGAAAAGTTCATCGAGGTTTTTAAGGATGAAACCTTCCCACCTGGTGCCTCTATTCTTTTCACTCAATCACCGCTTGGCTCATTGACAGTAAGTATAAAAAATTCCCCAACTTGCTGGTATTATATTTGACTTGATCCTATGATTATTTCTCTTATGCTAAATGGAAGATTTTATTAAATATTTTTTTCAAATGCATTTGATAGGATCTAGCATTGTGAAGCCTCAACCAAGAAAATAGCCCCCAGATTTCTTTGTTTTTGCTGTTGGTACAAGACACTTCTTTTGTGTTTATCACTTCATTGAGAAAATTAAAACGCCTAAATTAGGAAGGCAATTTTTTTCTTGACATTAAATGAAGCAACCAACATTGTGATTGGTAGCAGAAAGGAGTTAGCTATTTGTAATTTCAGTAATTTTGGTCTTACTACTCGAGAAATATTTTCAGCAGCTTAAGCCTCTCTTTTGCTTAAAAAACTAGAATATAATTTGAAATTTCTTTTATGTCGAATCTTTGTTACAGATTGCCTTCTCCAAAGATGGTTCCTTACCTGAAGCAGGGAATGTGGTAATAGAGAACAAACAGTTGTCGGAAGCATTGTTGGAGTCGATCATTGGCAAGCATGGTGTGTCCCCTGAAGCAAAACAGAGTTTGGCTGCAAGAATATCGAAATTGATAGCGTGTGATGATCAGGTGGTCGGGAAAGTGACAGCGGCAGAGTTGGAGGGAGAGAGTATTAAGACAGTTGAAGCAGAGAATGGAAAAGCTTAAACAGCAAGGAAGTTCCAAGTTTCGACTTTCTTGAGCTGGTTCTTCATTTCCTGAAAAAAATAAACCTGCCTTCTACTTCTGTATTGCTCCTTTTTTTCTTTCTTGGTTGGTAAACACACACCCCCTCTACTGAAGCTTGAAACTCAGACCTCCCTTTAAAAAGTTGGACCTGGTAGCACTAGCTCACTGGCCGAATATCTGTATTGCTCCTTATATATACTGATCATGTAAATAAAGATGGGTTCTGTTCATCATAAGCTATTTTCTTGAGGGGAAAGTTTAGGTGGGCACCCCCTTTTTACCATAGGTGTCCAAACACAGTTCGTTAGAGCTGTAGGCTGTGATGTATTGACATCAACATACAAGAAAACACGTCTACATATTATTATCTCAAATTCACATTTATATGTCTCTCTCAGAATTCTAAGTGATGCAATTCATGATGTTTTCGTTTTCTGACTGATTCAAGAAGCAACAAGTCGAGGGACACTGTTGCCTGGTCAGCATGATGCCGGTCGGGTGTACTTTAACCATACTTGAGTCATTATAAGTTAGAGAACTTCATATTTAATTTTTGAGTAAAGTTATTTTACCCAACTTGATAACACCGATAAAACACCGACATATTTACGTAATTTGCCACGTGTTCAAATGATTGACCAATTAAGTCAAAATATACAATTTTTTTTTACCCTGACAAGAAAACAAGCCAAACGTCATACGGCATTTACAAACAAGAACATCGACCATACACATAAAACCAAAAAATACATGTAACATCAACAGTCACATAACTGTCCAAACCAAACTAAGACCCCTTATAGTCAAGATCACAGTCTCGACAAATTAGGCAAAGGTGTCAGATAGAATAACCTCCCAGATAGAAAAAGGCACCGCCATACACAACAACCAAAGTACTCAAATGCCTGGCCCACCAGAAGTTAAAAAAAAACCACATCACCATGGTCAACACGCCAACAAGAAAACACAATAATGATGTCATCTGAGCGTACAGCAGCCCTAGACCTTCCAACTCCGACAATCAAGACATGGAGGGAACAAACAACTTCCGGCAAGGAACCATATAACGAGTATGATGGTCAGAAGAAATCCAACTTTTATCATGAAAATTGAAAAGGACCCCGGAATACGTGATCAGCGATTCTCCAGCACCGGAAGCACCAACAACACAAAGAAAATATCGCCAAGTACAGCGATGAAGAGAACCTTCCAAAAACATAAGCGTGCGTCCCAGGCCAATATAGCCAGCATCACCCAACCACGGACCAGAGGTATTGGCACCGAGAAAAGTCGCATCACTAATAACAAAGCTATTCACCATGGGAAACCAGACTCAAGAAGAGGAGGAAGGCAACCCAAGAAATTTTGCATTGAGTGGCCAGCAAAGCGTAAATTCCCCAGCTTTATATCCCGTTACGCATGGATGCCCTTCCGGCAAGAAGAGAAAGGGTAAATCAACAACCCAAAACTGTAACCCCTCAAACAGTAACCTGCAGCATTAGAAAAGATATAGTGTAATAGTGGGCCCGCCATAACCCAAAATTCAACACTGAAGAGACCAAACACTGACTTCATCCAGGACCACCAGTAAATATCAACCATAGATTACACACTCAAAAGAGAAAAATATTTGCACTTTACAAACACAACGCCCAACATACTTAATTAAACGCAGCATAAACGGCCCCACCTCACCCCAAAATTCAACGTTAAAAAGACTATGAACTGACGTTAGCCATGACGTCACAGAAAAATCAAGCGAATCCCAAAAAGTCGACTTCCAAAAGCCAATAGCCAAAGACCGACTAATGAAGAAACCCGCAATCATGAAAGCACAGGGACAGTAGTCACCGGAAGATAGCAAAAGGAGCCATAGCAGCATATCCATTTCCCGTCAGTGAACACCCCAACCAGAAAGAAGCCAAAAAAAAGATGACCAAACCCAGCGATCCCAATAACCAACAAACAATCCAGGAGAAAACACAAATTGCCAACCCACCAACGCACTAACCAAAGCGCGGGTGAACCGAGAGAAACACCAATGATCAAGCACAGTAGAGCACAACAGACTCCAAGAGGGCCACTAATTCCACAGGGTCATCCACCCCCAAACTCCAAACCCAAGAGAGATCCAGCCTCGCAAGAAAGTGGGAAAACCAAAATTCGGCCAAAACCACAAGATCACCCAAAACCAAAACCTTCGCCACAACATGATAGGAAAATATAGAAGGGACAAAGGAATCATACACCACCACAACATCCAAATAATAATCATATTGTCCATAACGATCCGATATTGAGAATACCGACCAAAGAAAGACATATCTACAAAGTAAAAAGACTATGGAAAAGATAGACTGATTACCAAAAGGTGAGGACAGAAACACTAACAAAAGAAAACCTAGAGAAATTGTTTAAGAAACAGAGATCAAGCCCGATGAAAAGGAGATCAACAGAAGAAGGTGAAGAAGAAATAAAAGGAAAGAGGAACGAGGAAGATCGAGAAAAACTCGAACGATGTTGAGAACCTTTACACAGAGAGGAGACCTCTACCCAAAGAGGAACTTTCTAGCAAGTTGGTATTACAATATGCTCTCTTATTGGACAATCAAAATATACAAGTAAAAGCACCAAATTGCAAACAAACCGGACTGATCTGACAGATGGAAAAACAGGGTAACCAACGACCGGTGACCCAAGGCAAGTTGATGGCAACAACGAAGAACGGCAATTTTAGAGATTCGCAGGGAGTGACACGCGTTCCTGTGAGTAAATCTCACTCGCGCCCACGCAACACTTCTTCGGCATTGTTTTTCCGGCGGTGGCTATCCTTGGTGGACTCGTAGTTTGGTTCGTGGCCAGAGTGAGGATGGACCAGTCGTTGATGATTGTTTGATTTTTTGGTGAATAGCAAGTTCAGTTTATTGGGGGAAATTTTTCGCAGAGTGGAAGAATAGGCAACCAAAAAAGAATTTCTGACAAAGGGATTTCTTAGAGAGAGAAACTGAAACTGAAAAAAGAAATAAATAGAAGAAATTAGGACTTCTTAGAGAGAGAAGAAGAGGAAGAATGAAAGAAAAAAACTGAGAAAAAAAAGATAATGACAAAAAAAAAAAAAAAAATCAAACATACCGCATATCATCTTTGCTAATAATTTGTCTAATTTAAAGTTTGGAAAATCTCATTGAAATATTCGGCCATGGCGCTTGTAATACCCCTAATTTTAAAAGGATAGTCCTGGCATTTATTTAATTGTTTAATCTTTTATTTAAATTATTTTAATTGTGTGTTTCTTCCATGGTTATTTAAATTTGTTTTTTTTTTTTTGTTTTAATTAATTGATTAAATTGTTTGGTTTTCTTTTATTACATTGTTTTAAATTAAATTATTTTATGATATTTTATTTGACTTAATTGATAATGGGGTTTATTTAATTAAATTGGTTTAAAGTAGGATTGTGTTTTCTGTATATTCACGTATTAGCCGACACAGGTATTATTTAACTTCTATGGGCCGGTTAGGATTTAGTTAGGGCTTTAATTAATTTAGGGTTTGGTATAACTCTATAAATATATGGGTATACGTCTGCCTATGGTTTTTGATAAACCCTACTCACCACCTTCAATAACAGAGTCACGTAATAGAGTCATTCAGAGAGTTGTGAGGGCAGAGAAACAGAGAGGGAGCTTGTATGGTTTACTGAGAGAAACTTTAGGAGATTAAGGGAGGGATTCAAGGAGGAGTTCTGGTCCTAACTAAGAGTGGCAGAGGTTGATAACAACAAGTTGACATTGCCAGAATTTATAGAGACGGTGAATTATAGTTTCAAATCTGAAACTGCAGGCAAGTCTCTGTTCTTCTCTCTCCCGTTAATTCGTGTTCTGTGCATGCCTAGTTAGACTCCAGGAATTAATCAAACATTAAAACAGATTCAACGAATGTTATAATTCATCTTGTATGCATGTTGAATCAGTATTTTGTTTCTATTGAGTTAATCTGTTTGATGTTGCTTAAAAGTTTTAACAGAAATCTTGTTGCTGATTGTTTTAGCACTTGTGTTAAATTCCTGTTGTGATTGGATATCTATGTTTTAGTATTAGTTTGAGATATTTAAATGAACCCTAGAATAAGTTCTTAAAACAGTAATGAAGATCACCAAATAAATCTGTTGTGGGTTGCTTAAAGTTTCAGACTAAGGTTTTGTAATCGTTGCTTCTAAACCTATGTTTTATGCATGCTATCATTGAATATCAGTGGTTTAATATGTACCTAGGACTGAGATTGAACCTAGAATGAGAATTAAAACATGTTACAGAGGCTCTGGTAATCACCGGAATTGGAGAAGACGAAGCTGGAATGGGCAACGGCGGCTAGGGGAAAAGTGAGGAGGCTCTCAAATATCTTAGAGCCGGCTCCAAACTTATTTGGAGGCGGCTCCAAGTGTCTTTGAGCCGGCTTTAAGTGGTTTAGAGCCGGCTCCAAAAGAAAAATAGAGCAGGCTCCAAATTTTAGAGCCTGCTCAATCTTAAAACGCACAGAATTGAAGTTTTAGGGACTTTTGGCTGAAATTGGTTTTTCTAAAATTATTTAAAGGCTACTGGATGTGGTAATTTAATGTTTAAGACTTGTAAAAATGTTGGGAAGCATGATTACAAGTAGGAATTGAGGACGGGATTAATCTAAGATTAAACAGTGAACCCGTGGGTGGATGATTTGAAAATTAATTTCTGTTATCTACTATTTTTGGAACTTTATTTCTCTGCATGACGTGGATTTATAAATCATATTTTGCAGCTGTGTTATAAGCATACTGTGGTATTGTTATATGTATGCTTAGTTGGGATCAACTGGTGTTAAAATCTGTTTTACATTGCATAAGTTATGGTACTGTTTGGAGAGGTAGACTGTGTAACTCTACTTTATCAATTTAACGGACTGTAATTGGGATTCTAAATCTTATATTGAATGCATAAGTTGGTTATATACATGTTAAACTATATTTATGCTAATTCTGGAGTATGGTTGATAAATACTTATTCCTGTTTTTGTCAACTTCGTTAACTGGAGGATTGTATGTACCGGTATGGGACGGTGACATACTAGGTATGGACTTGTTCAAACACTGAGTTCTACCTAACTTGGATTAAGGTATGGATTAATCATATAGGTTAAGTCCATCGCCTACTTGCGCCATATCAATTGAGAATTGAATGACCTACTATGGTTTCAGGATGAA